TATTGCTTATACTCTCTCTTCAACAAAATTAGAGATAAGGGCAAAATAGTGTCTGCCAGGTAGCGAGGGGTAAGGGGGGGTAAGGGCAGGGGTGGGGGGAAGAGGGGAGAAATGACCCAAACATTGTATGCACATATGAATAAAATAAAAATTAAAAAAAAAAAAGCATCATCCTTTCAATTAGGTGTTCAGGCCCCAAACCTCAGAGTCATCTGTGCTTCTCATTTTTTTCATAGTTAAATCCAAATTTTGTTGTTTATTCCTTCAAACTATATCCAGAGTTTGGGTACTTCTCACCACCTCCATGGCTACCATATTGGTTAGGACAGCCTCCATATCTTGCCTGGATATCTGCGATAGCTGTCTAACTGGTTTTCTTCAACAGTTGTTTACCTACTGTCTCTTAGCACAGTTACTAAGGTGATCTTTATAAAACATAACTCAGAGAACATCACTATCCTGCTCAAACTCCTCAGAGATTTCCATTTCACTTAATGATATCACAACCCACAGGGGCCAGTATGAGCAGGCTCTTTCTACTGCTTCTTCCCTTGCTTCCTCTACTCCAGTCCTGTGACTTTCTTTTCTAGACCTTGACCGTGTTAGGCCTTTGTTCTATCTGCTTTGTCTTGAGCAGTCTTTCTTTGGATAGCTTCATGTCTAACTCCATTGTGTCTTTGCTCAAATGAGCTACCTCACCTCTCTGTTTAAAGTTGTAATATGCTGTTCCCAACACTCCCTCCTCTACTACCTAACCCTTTCCTTCAGCACTTGGCACTTGCTAACTATGACACTATTCTTTATTTCTTTTGTCTCTTGCCCCTGCTGTATAAAGGCAGGGATCTTAGTTTCATTCACTGATATTTCCTGAACTCTGATTACAAAGGTACAAGGGAGTGACTCAAAAAGTATTTGTCAAGTGAATGTTAAAAAAATCTATTAGATTTTGACTTGACAGTGCATTTGATTAGAGAGAGGAGGACTATTTGCAGGCTGGCAGAGGGATTCCTGGAAAACATCCATGTAGAAATTTTGAAGGGTGGTGGTGAGAGAATACAGAACTGCCTGCATTTTTCACCTTCATACCTAAAAACCAACCCATAAATTTCCCCTTAATATTTCATGTGAAATATAAGCTTTCTGAGCCTGAATATCAAGACCCATTTTGTTTTCATTTCCTCCCTGCATTTATCTAGCTTCTCCTTCCTGGGGGAAATTTTGTAACCTAGATATTTCCTCACTGTGGAATTTACTTGAGCTTACTTTTGAGAACTTGAAAATTTTTGATGCTTTCTCTTTTGAAAACAAATTAGCTTATATATGTCCTTAGATTTTAGACCCTTTAATATCTCGATTTTATAATTAACTTTCAAATACTCCAACTTAGATAATTCAGGCAATATGCTATCCAAGACTGTTGTTTCTCTCCATTTTTCTGCTAACAGGATGTTTTAATGAGGCTGCTAATCTTAGACGAATCACATTCTAACATGAGTCCTTAATAAGATGGAAATAGGGATAAAGTTAAGTTTATTACTATTGGTAGGTTTTTGCTAATCTCTGATGAAAACAATACTGCAAGTAGGATTTTGAGTCTGACTGGTTGGCAAGGCAGTCAACTTTGATTTCTTTGTAAGAATTCCTTTCAAAGCTGGGAAACTGGCCAGTATCCTAAGGCAGTGATTATTGTTTCTAAAATCTTTTCTTCTTTCTTCATCTTATTTTCCTATCTTATGAAGATGGACTCTAGAGAGATTTGCAGAAAAGTGCAATGCAGCAGACCTGGATTTTTATCTTTTTCCACTGAGGCATTATATTCATATTCATGTTTTACATCTCTAGAAAAAAGAACCTTGAGATTTTCCTTCTTGTGTGTTTTTGTCTTGCTTCTTTTTTAAAGTGTGAAGTGGGAGAATTTATTGAGATAAAAAAGAATAAAGTTGAGGAGTAGAGGCCCCAGAGTTAGGGGGTGGGTGTCCTAAGAGAGGGTGCCTCTTGTCTTGCCTCTTTATGGTCCATGACGACAGTTAAGGTTGTCAGTACAGTGAAACCAAACTGAAGGGATGAGAGCAGCTTATTCTGCCACATTTCTAGATCTTTGAGCTGCACATCAAATCTGGGACTGGTCTTTCCATACTCGTTTATCCTGCCTGTGAGGTTCACAGTAGCTTTCTCAGCTCTGTGATCCTCAATTACTTCACATTTGTCAGTGTAACCATGTTTCATCATCACAGTTAGAAAGTGCACAATGATTTTAAAGCATAGCTTAGTAAGGACCTGGTGTTTGCTTCTCTTTTCAGCACCAATGATGCTCCCAAAAGTACCAGCCAGGATATCCAAGATATCTATGGTGGCATGGAAAGATGGAAGAAATAAGGATTTGCTATTTTTTTAGAATTGCTATGGAGGTTGGCCCATGGTTTGTATATGGGAGTTTAGCTTCTATAAAATTCTTTACAGTGATATGAAGAGTTGCCTGATTAATAAGTGTGTTTTGTATGCTTAGATTATACAACAAAACACATGACTTCTGGTGAACACCTGCTTTTCTTTTAGGATTCTAGTGTTTTGACAACTGCTATGCAGACCAGCTGTCTCCAGTGGGCTTCCCTGGGAGGCAGCATGAGATGTGCATTGTTTATTCAAAGCTAGAGAATGGCAAACTCTCAGTGTACTCCTGCAGGATTTCAGGAAGAGAGAGTCAGAAGTCTGGATGTCTCCAGTGGCTGCCTGCACATTCCCCTTATTTACTGTAATGAATCTCAGCCGTTAGTGTTACTGTATGCTGAGTCCTGGGAGTCTTTGTAATGAACCATCAAATATATGGTGGACTGGGAAATTTCTGAAATAGTTGGAATAGTGCCAAATTGTCGTCTCCAAAATTTCTTCAATGAAATAATCACCAATCTTTATGTCTCATCAATTTTCAGGATTTATGCTGAAGTCATTTATTAAACTTTCTCCCTAGAATTACTCTGCATTCAGAAGCCTCACTGACGCTACTAGCTGGGACAGGATCACATAATAAGATTTAGAATAGAAGTAATTGGACTGGAGGTGGCTCAAGTGATACAGAGCCTGCCTAGCAAGTGTGAGTTCAAACCCCAGTATCATACTCACACCCACAAGTCTTAAGAGTGAATTCTAATGGGCTAAAATTTTTGGATTAGGAAAAAAGTTAGAAAAAAACCCTATGATTTTCTACATGAGAAAGGAAAATAATTTACATGGAAATCGGTATATTTAAGAACATATGTTAATTAGTTATTTAAATTAAACTGCTATTTACTTAGTCTTATATGCTAGATGTCTTACACTTTTATGGTAGTGAGGTCTTATGGGATATTAGAGTCTTTAAATTAGTATTTATAAACTCAAATAAATGCACAAAACAGGCCATGTGTAAGATAGTAACAACCAACCCATCTGACACTTTCAGTTGCTACCTTTAAGCACCCCACCAAAAGCATAATAAAGAAAAAAATAGCAATGGCTACCCACAACAAATTTGTTTTCAACTCTTGCTCTAGATCATTATCAAAAACTTTTATGAAAAGCTGTTGTTAACAATTTCAATTATATAGATTATGGATAGTAAGTACTTCATTGTAAACACTAACTTGGTAGAGGAATTGAAGGGAATGAAAACCAAATTGTACTAAATAGGTTGGGATATTACTTATTTGTGGTAAAGGAGTAATATGTAAAGCAATTCTCTAGAAGAGAAAAGGGAAGGCCTAGCAGGTCTTGCCATAACAATCTATGTTGCTACTGTGTGAATATGTCTTTTCCTTCCTTCCTTCCTTCCTTCTTCCTTCCTTCCTCCTTTCTTCCCTCCCTCCCCCACTTTTTATGCTGGGGTTTGAACTCATTACCCACTGTCTGCTAGGTTCTATTACATAAACCATTCCTCCAGCACCTGAATATTTCTTTTTAAAACAAGAGTTCATTTTCTTCCAATCTTCCACTTGATTTGTCCTCAACCAGGAAATCATGGATAAAGAGCACTTGCATAGCATTCTGTAGAGTTGTGACATTTCTAAAAAATTTAACCAATAAAAGACTTAAATAAAAGCTCCCTTGGTTTTTAATACTGGATCAAATTTTCTTTTTTTCTTTCTGTACTAGGGTTTGAACTCAGGGCTTTGCACTTATAGGAAGGTCATTCTACCACTTGAGCCACAAACCCAGCCCCCCAAACCTATCTTATTCAATGGAAGCTATTTGTTTGTTTGTTCGCTCGTTTGTTTTGTTTTTGGAGATGGGGGTCTCACTATATAGCCCAAGATGGCCTGGAACTTGCTATGTGGCCTAGGCTGACCTTGAACTTGTGAATTCTCCTGCCTCTGCCTCCCCAGTGCTGGGATTACAGATATCCATGACCGCTCCTGAGAGCACAGTGATTTAAAGAACACATTTACTTTGGAGTCAGTGACATGTTAAAAATTTCTACTCTATACTACCATGTGATATCAGAAGTTAGTTTGTCCTTCTAAAGTTCCATTTCCTCATCTTGTGGAATGACAATAATACTACCAGCTCAACTGTTGTAGAGATTATATATGTAAATGCCAGCACATGACAGGCAGACAGTAAGACTGTGTGAGTGACAATGGTGGTGATGATAATGGTGATAAGGTTGGTGCTGGCAATGATAATAGTGATAATGATGGTGATTATAATGGTGGTAATGGTGACAGTGATGAGATGGTAGTGGTGCACTGATCTCAAGAAAACTTCAGAACTTTGTAAAAGGTAGTGGAAATTTTCTTCAAATGAACTCAGCAAGAAACAGATAAATAAGAGTTGCTCCAAAAAGGGAATGGGGTATGAGAGCCGCCTGCCAATCCATCCTTCTCCCTGTCAGCTGCCTACTAATGTGCCCCAGAAGTTACCCATGGAATTCTCAGCATTGGAAGTTAACCATGGAATTTCAAGCATTGTTTGAAAATCTATGGCAAGACAATGGTGAAGAAATGGCAAGATCATCTTTGGCTTACTTTAGGTCAAGGGAAGGCTTAATGTTTCTGGGAGGTAGGCTTGGGAGTGGTGGTTGTGTTGGATGAGATGCTGGCAACGGTGGTTGGCTGGCTGGATGTGATGATGGAGGTGGTGGCAGGGATGTTGTTGAGTAGGGCATCTGGCTTTTGCTGGTGCCTAAGAAGCAAAGAAAACAATACCATGAATTAAGGCAAGTCTTCAAAACACTGGCCATGTGAAGTAGGCTGAAATGAGAATCTTGAATATAAAAATGTCAGAAATGCAAGTTGAATGAATGCTTTCAAGAGTCTAATATTTTAGGTAATATGAGACATGGCATTTCAAATATTCTACTACAAGAGATAGATAAATTCTTAGAGTTTATTTCCCACTATTAAAAACAATTTCTCTTGATGCTTTTGCTTTTAATATTCTGGAGTTTGCAAATAAGACTATATCAACTTTATATCACATCCTCCATCATTCTATAAGTATAGATTATTTTTCATTATTTTAGACCAAATGGGTTTACTTTTCATATGTGTTCATAGATAAATGCACTTTTGTTTCTGACTGTCTCCTTTTTTTATAATTGATATTTTGTTCTAGACATGGTTTTTAAACATGGAAACCTACTAAAAAATCTTATGAGTAAATCATATATTATTAAAAATTATAATATAGACTAATAATATTAAATAAGTATGAATCACCCACAATCCTATTGCCTACCAACACTTGGCATGTATTTTTGAATATTTTGGCACAAGTATGCTTTTATGGGAAGGACCAAAATGGGACCATTTTTCCATTTTGCTATCACCTTTAAAATTTTTTCTCAATATTAATAAATATATTTCCAGTTTAACATAATTACAGTATAATTGTTAGTAACCACACAATTATTCTTTATATAGAGATCATGATTAAAATGTTACTTTCTCATTCATTTTTTGAAATGAGAGAAAAATGGGGTTGAATAGTGGTCACTAGAGAGTGACTAGAAAAGAGAGGGTGGCAGGTGGGGGAGGTGTGGAAAAAGTTAAATAAGGGTGTCAAATACTATTAGAGATGACAAATTAGTTCTGGTTTCCTGTAGCACAGTAGGGTAGCTATTGGTTACAACAGCCTATGATATATTTCAAAATAACCAGAAGAGTATGAGATTCCACCACACAAATAATGGTTAATATTTAAGGAGATGGGTGGGGTTATTCCTCTGATTATTACATATTGTGTACATGTATTGAATTATCATACTTCACCCATAAATTACAAATATTAGGTCTTAATTAAAAAAACAAAGCAAATATGAGGGCCATGTATTATATATTTATGTTATTTCTTCTCTTTTTTGCCATACTAAAAATTGGCTAAGTCTTTGTACATCTTTCAAATTTTTTCTTAGGATAAATTCTCTAAGTAGAAATTTTAGGTCAAACAATTTTTTAAGATGTTTGAGGCAATCCAGCAATACCACTCTTGGGGATAAACCCAAAAGACTGTGACACAGGTTACTCCAGAGGCACCTGCACACCCATGTTTATTACAGCACTATTCACAATAGCCAAGTTATGGAAACAGCCAAGATGCCCCACCACTGACGAATGGATTAAGAAAATGTGGTATCTATACACAATGGAATTTTACTCAGCCATGAAGAAGAATGAAATGTTATCATTCGCTGGTAAATGGATGGAATTGGAGAACATCATTCTGAGTGAGGTTAGCCTGGCCCAAAAGACCAAAAATTGCATGTTCTCCCTCTTATGCAGACATTAGATCAAGGGCAAACACAACAAGGGGATTGGACTTTGATCACATGATAAAAGCAAGAGCACACAAGGGAGGGGTGAGGATAGGTACGACACCTAAAAAATTAGCTGGCATTTGTTGCCCTCAACACAGAGAAACTAAAGCAGATACCTTAAAAGCAACTGAGGCCAATAGGAGAAGGTGACCAGGAACTAGAGAAAAGGTTAGATCAAAAAGAATTAACCTAGAAGGTAACACACATGCACAGGAAATCAATGCGAGTCAACTCCCTATATAGCTATCCTTATCTCAACCAGCAAAAACCCTTGTTCCTTCCTATTACTGCTTATACTCTCTCTTCAACACAATTAGAGATAAGGGCAGAATAATTTCTGCCGGGTAGTGAGGGGTAAGGGGGGGTTAGGGAGGGGAGGATAAGGGAAAGGGTGGGGGGAAGGGGGAGAAATGACCCAGACATGGTATGCACATATGAATAAAATAAAAATTAAAAAAAAAAGGCTGCTTTCAGTTTAATGTAGGATTGAACCAACTTTAGAGACTATAAAATTCATTATACCTGGCATGAAGAATTAGAGATGTAAACGTTGAGAAGAAGCACATAAAATTCTGACCTACTTACAGATCTTGTTCCCCAAAGCTTGGGGGGTTGTCTTGGTGGAGTGTTGTTTTAAAATCCTGGAACAGAAAAGACTTAGAATTTGTCCTCTAAGAATGACAGGATCGTGCAGGGATGAGGAGTCCCACGACGATGGGCAGAGTTTATCTCCTGGATAGTCAACATGGCTCAGCACTGATGGGCTAATCAGGCGAACTTGCAACTCACTCCCTACTCTCATTCCAAGATGAAGAAATTGACCCCACCTCTCTTGCTGACCAACTCTGGACTTGAGTAGTATTTTGAGCTACCAAATAAAACTGCTTAGTGCTCTGAGCATTCTAACAGGAGCTCAAGGCTTCAAGAAGAGATAGTGGGCATTTTGCTAAAAAATCAAGTGGAAGTTTGAGCAACTAATGGCAAATCTAAAAGTATTGACTGTCTGTATTAGGTAACAGTTCATACTGCTTGCAGAACAAATGAAGGTTAGAATAAGGAGGGTTGAAAATACACAGGAGAGAAATAACAAAACTTTCTAGAATATGAAAATAGCTCACAAGAGTCTAGAAGTTAACAATCCCCCGTTCCAACTTTTCATCCCTTTTAGTTTTGGAAGTTCAGAAGAGACCTTGCACAAGTCACATGCCCCTGCTCTGACAGTGGATGTGCTGAATACCAGGGCCATTTTGCAGGGAGGAAATGATGGGAGAGGCCCTCCATGAGTCAGAGTTGGCCCAGCAGTTATCTGGCCCTGCCCGTCAAGGGTGGGTCCAGGCTCATTGAAACACAGGATATCCTAGGTGGTGAAATTTTGCCAGGATCTAAACTCTCATAAAAGAAAAACAGAAATAAAGAACAGGAAGAGAAGATATGGGTTTGAATAGAGAAGACATAATGAGGGTAGTAGTATATTCATACGAAATAGAAATTGTATTATCTCATAAACTGTGCATTTTAGATCCTCTGCCAACAAAAATATTAGTTCTAGATATTGTCACAATACTCTTGAAACACAAAGAGCTGTGAGGACTCAGGAAATCTACCTCACAGGCTCTGACATTTGTCTTTTGACTAAGAGTGTACCTATCCTTCATGACCCAAGAGGTCTAAGGAACAGGTGGAGATCTAGTTTTCAATCTGTGGATTCATTTACAAAACCAAAGACTTTGCATCATATAGTTTCCAAATGCCACAAAACCCTGGCCCTAGATAAGCCATTTTTAATTGTGATTTTGTAGGGATATCTTAGATTTTAAGATCGGCTTTGTCACCACAGAACTTTGTCCTTGGTGAATCAGTCAATCTCCCTATAACTTAGTTTCTCCATCTGTGAAATGGGAATTATACAAACCCAACCACTTTACAGGAGCATAAGGATATAGTAAGCTACCAAGTGCAAAAGCCTTTAAAAAGCCCAAAGAGCTGTATAGCAGAAAAGATGATCGCACAAGAATGAAATAGGTCACAAATAAAAAAGACTTCAAGTTTCCTGACTTTACAAATTTTGAAATAATTTATGTCACTTTATCATTTATTTATTTATTTGGAAATTATTAAGCATTGTCCCCAGAATTTAGTCATTGAACTAGCAACCCAGCATGTAGACTTTCACTTTCTGTGGGCCGGGATAAGCACGTAACTTTGCTCATCCAAACTAGAAGAAAAGCTCTAGGATCTGTCTGGCCCTTCCGGAATGTAGCCTGGGGAACTTGCACTAGTAATTTGTTGAACACTCTAGGTGACACCTAATGGAACTTCTTGTGATTGCATGACTATGCACATTAATTCATGCCTATCTCAACATACACTTTCTCAGGTGGGGCTCTGATCATCGTGGCTGTTGAATTACCCATGGCTTGGGTTTGAATTTAGGCTCTACCACTTTTATATTACTCTTCCATTTTTTATTACTCAGGGGACTTGGATAAGTTGTTTAGCTGTTGCAAGTTGTAATTTTCATATTTGTGAATTGGTCATATAACCTACCTTGCAGAAGCACCTGGCACATTCTAGATCTTAATAAATGTTCTCATTGTTTTTCTTCTTCTTCTTTTTTTTTTGGTGAAATAGTTTTCAGGGTTTCACACTTGCAAAGCAGGTGGCTATCACATGAGTCACACCTCCAGTACATATTGCTCTGGTTATCTTGAAGATAGGGTCTCACTATCTATTTGCCCCAGCTGGTCTTGAACCACCATCTTCCCATCTTAGCCTCCCAAGTAGCTAGGATTACAGGCATGAGTTGCTGGCATCTGGTGGTCCCATTTGTTTTTGTCTACTATCTGATCTGGTTGCATCATTGATATATTGTACCCTACCCATTGCAATTGTAAGCAAACTCAAAAACATTTTCCTGAACCCAATCATGCTTAATCCTGGTTCTGCTAGAAACTCTTAGAATAGATTAGGAATGAAGAAGTTTAACTCAAGGCTGGGTGCAGTGGTACATTCCTATAATTCCAGCTACTTGGAGGTAGAGGTAGGAGGATCATGGTCTGAGAGTAGCCTAGGTAAAAACATGTAGCCCTAGGTGAAAAACAGACTAAAAGCAAAAGGATGGGGAGCATGACTCAAGTGGTAGAGCTTTCAAGTGCCAGGCCCTGAGTTCAATCCCAATACTGCCCTCTTCCCCAAAAAAGTTTAACTCAAAATCCCTAAATCCACCCCAGTATGTATCTGAACAACCAAATAGTACTTTCACATTCTTGACTTCTAAGCTCATCAGAAGCAATGCAAATCTGAATGGTTTAGGAGAAAGATTTCTTGTGCCAGAATGTTCAGTCCTGGGTTTAATTACTAATCTCAT